TTCGATCTCTCGACTAGAGTTCTCAAGGTAGAAGTGCATTATGTTCAAGGAAAAACTATTACATTCAGATGAATCATGTGTATATACCCCTATATACCATTCAATTCACACCATGAATTATGTGGTCTGCTATATGAATTCCTCTCTCGATTCATTCACATAAACCGAATAAATTAAGAGATGGTCACTCCTAATAGCATTAAGCAAGAAACCTCATAGACTATATGGAAATCACGATCTTGGATAAATCAGAATAAAAATATATTCATTGTTATGATTAGGCTTTTCATAGTCCTAGCTACAAACAAATCAGTTCATACTAGAGGAAATGAAATCAACAAGAGGAAAGAAAGAACTCATGGTGTCGCACTTAGAGCTGAGGTCTCCTCTTCTCCTTGCCGCCACCTTCTTCTTTCAGTCTTCTTGCTTTCTTGACTGATTGCTCCTGATGAGACTAAAAAGTACCCTATTTTTATCCCCAATTATTCACTCTTTTTCATTAATTTAGCACTTAATTGGACTCATTACTCTTGTATTTCGGTTCAGGGCAAGCAAGAGGAAATTGGAAGAAAACAAGGCAAATCGGATGATTTTGCATAGTTTCGGCACCATTCAGTAATCTGGGCATAACTCTCAATTCCGGACTCCGATTTGGATAATTCAAGAGGCATCAGAAAGACGAGAGAAAGGCCCACAACTTTTATGTTTTTGGTTTTGACAGATTCGGTCCGCATCGAAGACGAAACCGGGCCCGAATCAGATGGTTCGGTTTTGACAGATTCTCATTGGATGTTAATGTTAATTAGTCTGACAAATTAATTAATATTGATTTTCCTATTGCTATCCATGGTTCGGTGATTCGTAATTGTCACGAATAGTGGTACAAGTAGCAATTAAATTAATATCTTTCTAGGTCAATTGTTCGTAACAGCCTTTAACCAATGTATTGGCATGTTTTAACCTAAAGGGGATCGATGGAACAAGATTCGATAATTGCAGCTATCTCAATTATTGTTATTTTGGTTTAACTGTTTTCACAAAGCTTAATGCTATCACTAATTGATATGGAACGCTATCGTACCCAGTCAATTAGTGATAAGTGTTGATCGAATGCTGAATTTGGTTAGCTGATTTAGGAAACACAAGGTTTATTATGGCTATCCTAATAAATCTAAGGTTAAATGCTTGAATTGCAAGACTGCTGAAGTCTACCTATGATCGATGACCAATTGATTAATCCGAACCCTTGAACCATAATTTGGTAAGACTGATTTCTCTTGTTTGATACTGTTATTTGCTCTTTTGTTATTTTAGAATTTTAATTTGATTTAGCCACTCTATTATATTGCGCATTCGGCTAAGAAATTATTCCCTAGCTCCCTGTGAGATTCGACCTAGTACCACTATTACTACAAAATTTTATTGTGGGACTAGCATTAATTTTGAGGGCTTTGACAACCCGTCAAAATTTTGGTGCCGTTGCCGGGGAGCTACTGTAATTTCTTAGCTTGTTACCTTCTATTTGTGTTAACCTTCTTGTTTTATGACTCGTGCTTCTCACCAAGGTGAAATAGAATACAACCCCGAAATTGAGAAGACTACCTGTCATTTAAGGAAGGAGGCGAAGCAAAGGAAGGACCATTCACCTAAAAGGGTGAATTCTGAATTCGACCTACCAACTTGTGATTAACCCATCTTCGAAGAGGAAGAAAGGATGGCTGATAGAGATAGAACACAGGGAGTTGGCTGCACCGATCATGAACCAACAGCCCCTATGCATAATATATCCCACTCTTGAGGTAGCCTTCGAACTAAAATCTGGTTTGATTCAATTACTTCCTATTTTTCATGGCTTTCCAGGTGAGGACCCTCACAAACATCTCAAGGAATTCCATGTTGTCTGTTCAAGAATGAAACCACAGGGTATGACTGAGGACCAGGTAAAATTAATAGTTTTTCCATTTACCTTACGAGATAAAGCAAAGTATTGGTTATATATTCTTCCTCCTGGTTCGATACGTACATGGGATGAGATGAACAGAATATTTTTAGATAAATAATTTCCTGCATCCCGAGCTGCAAACATTAGGAAAGAGATTTGTGGAGTTCGGCAGTTTGGTGGTGAGACACTATACGAATATTGGGAAAGATTTAAACAACTTGTTGCTAGTTGTCCACACCACCAAATACCCGAACAGCTCTTGATCCAATACTTCTATGAGGGACTCTAACCTATGGATAGAAGTATGGTAGATGCAGCTAGTGGAGGAGCCTTGGTAAATAAAACACCCGAAACGACTAGGGAATTGATTTCCAACATGGCCGAAAATTCACAATAGTTTGGAGCAAGAATAGATGGCACTACTATGCGTGTAAATGAGGTAAGTCATGTTAATTTAGAAAACCAAATTTCTGATCTTACTGCTTTGGTTAGACAATTGGCTGCAGGGCAATTGCAAACAACTAGGGTAGGTGTTTGTTCGATTCCTGGGCATCTTACGGATATGTGTCCATCGTTGCAGGATGGCTCGATGCAGCAAGTTAGTGCCGTAGGAGGATTTCCGGGCCAGCCTCAATACAAGTATGATCCCTACTCCAATTACTACAATCCGGGGTGGAGGGATCATCCAAATCTGAGCTACAAAAACCAAGGAGGACCACAGAGATATCAGCCCCAAGCTTTCAATAGACAGGCCCCAATTTCCGCACCTATCACAGTGCAAGGCCAACCCTCAAGTTCAGGTATGTCATTAGATGAAATCATTAAGGCTCTAGCTACTAACACTCACCAATTTCAACAGGAAACAAGAGCCAGCATCCAGAACTTGGGGAACCAAATCAGCCAACTTGCTACTTCCATTAGCAAGTTGGAGGCATAGAATTCCGGGAAATTACCATCACAGATGGTAGTTAACCCCAAGAAAAATGCAAGTGCAATGGTGCTGAGAAGCGGGAAGGAGTTGCAGCCCCAACCTACCTCACCAACGAAGGCAGATAAAGGAGATAAGGAAGAGGAGAGACAAGATTCAAATGAAGGCCCCATTAAGGTAATACCCGACCCCCCTCTCCCTAAAATTACTAATGCCATTGTACCACCTTTTCCTAGTAGGTTGGAAAAATAAAAGAAGGAGGAATATGAGCAGGAAGTCTTAGAAACCTTCAGGAAGGTGGAAATCAATATCCCCTTGTTAGATGCTATAAAACAGATCCCAAAGTATGCAAAGTTTCTAAAAGAATTGAGCACTAACAAGAGGAGGCTGCGAATCGATGAGAAGGTAAGAGTTGGAGAAAACATTTCAACTGTCATCAAGAGGACCTTGCCGGAAAAACGTGCTGATCCAGGTATGTTCACTTTACCTTGTGTGATTGGCAATAAACGAATCGAGCGTGCCATGCTAGATTTAGGTGCATCCATCAACGTCATGCCATACTCGATTTACTGTGCTTTGAGATTAGGTCCCTTAAAGGAAACTAGGGTTGTCATTCAACTAGTTGATCGTTCTAATGCTTACCCGGAAGGGATTGTTGAGGATGTGTTGGTGCAAGTTAATGATTTAATTTTTCCAACCGATTTTTACATCTTGAAGATGGAGGAGGACAAAGTCACAAGTTCAGCCCCACTTCTATTAGGCAGGCCATTCATGAAAACTGCCAAAACCAAAATAGATGTGGATGAGGGTACCCTCTCCATCGAGTTCGACGGAGAGATTGTTAAATTCAATATTTTTGAAGCTATGAAATATCCAAATGAATGCCATTCTATCTGCTCTATTAACACTRTCGATTCAATTGTGCAGGAAGTTTTTGGAGAAGAGGACATGAATGAAGAACTTGAATTCAGTGCACAATTGGACAGGGAGGAGGAGTTTGAGAATCCTATAACACTCTGGAACCGATCCCGCGACAAAAGGTAATCAATTATGATCTTCCATCGTCATTTTCTCACAAAAAATTGTTGCCTTCTGTTTTGTAGGATCCGGAGTTGGAATTTGATGGAAGTAGATTTGGCCCGACCCCTTGGTTGTGCAACACGTGGAAGAAGACGAGATGATCTGGCAGGAATGCCAACTCAACACGATGACGTAGCGCGGCCATCCCAAAGAGAGGACCGAGCTCCCAAGCTCCCCAGGAAGAGGCACGAGCTTCCCAAAAGGGACCCACGCTTCCTGGGAGGCGAAACCCGAACTCTCCCTAAAGGATCCCGAGGCTAACATCGAAGCCCGCGAAGGGCAAGGCCGAAACTAGCCCACCTCGGGTCAGTTCAGACCATATGCCAGTACTACGGGATAGTAGGACCTACTCATCCGAACTCAAGACTTCACCTCGCACACCACTCTGGCACCTCGGCTCCAGGTCGTGCGACTGTGAAACCATATCTGACAGATCCGTACTCTGGGGCAGCACGCCTGACTGGTCTGGGTCTAATAGATGGAAATCATGCCATAACGGCCACCTGCCACCGCCATCTCAGTTGTGGCAGAGACGGCCCTGGCAGAAAGGATTGTGGCAGTTATGCCTACCCCCCCACAGAGGCAGCTATACCTGACTTGGTAGAAATTTGGGAGTAAGTGTACCAGGTGGTTATAAAAGGCCTTCCTCCCCCAGGGAAAGAGGTATGTGATATTTGTGATTTCTGGTCTTGAAATCCATTATTTTCCCTTGCCTTCTCAAGAGTATTAACTTGAGCTTCGGAGTGTTCCTACTGGGCTCCTCCCCGGAAATCTCTAGTTTCTTCCTTGTCTCAGGCATCTTCAGCTCTATCAAGGGCAAGGTAACCGGTAGATAGGACCGACCGGATCGCGCATCATCATTTGGCGCCGTCTGTGGGAAGACTTCAAAAGGTCTCCCATAACCTTTAACTCTCTCTCTCTCAAAGAAACCTCAATATCCAAGGCTTCCTCCAGCAGTAATAGGCACAACGCCGACTTGAATGTTGTAGGGGAACACTCTCAGCCCGCCACTGTATGCATCGGACAGTTCACCATCCCCCTCTCGGCGGACGGAATCCCTAGCCTCAATGCACCGAGCACGGTGGCACCTGTGAATGTTCCCCTTCCCCTCCCTATTGAGACAACCTTCGCCAAATCGAGTGTTGAACCTCTAGCCACCAACCAGAATCAGCTTGATGACTTGATGCAATGCATGCTAGCCATGCAAGCCCAAATGCAGTAGTTCCAGCAACATCAGCTCCATCAGCAGCAAGTACTACACCACATTTCTCAGTATCAGTACTAACAACAGCTCCCCCAACTGCCTCTGAACTGACCGCAGCTCCCACCTTGACACCTTGCTGTCAAGCCGGTCAAGCCCTCTCCTCAGGGCGGGCGCCTTCACCGAGGGGAAGCTTCCTAGCCTCAGAACCCCTCTAGAAGCCAGGCCTCATCCCCAGGCAGGAGGGAAAGACTAACTACCCCTGCCTCGCAGCTCACCGGCGGATCAGGAGACTCCCAACCAATCAAGTCAGCACCTCGGCACTCTAAGTTCGGGCTCCCGCTCGCAGAAAACCAATTTGGCGTCCTGGCCGCGGACTACCACCAATAGTCTGGGCCCATTGAGCTCGACAACACCGAGGCAACCAGTGCCAATACCGGGTCTTCCAAGCAGCAGCGGAGGCACCGACGAAGTCGCTGAACTACCACCCGCGTCCTGCCCGAGCTCCGAGGTAAACAAGAAGCAAGCTCGAACGAGGTAAAAGTTGCCCCTATTCTTTCAGTTCCTTCCCCCCTGTCATCAGAACTCCTCGCGGTTCCCATGCCTAAAGATTTCAAACTCCCTCCTCTAGACAAGTATGATGGGTCCTTTGACCCCAATGACCATGACGATGCTTTCCAATCCCAAATGCACCTAGCAAGGGCCAGCGAGTCCTGCATGTGTGTGACCTTCACTACCACCTTCAGGGGAGTGGCCCGCACCTGGTACAGGAACCTAGCCCCCGGATCAATAAGGAGTTGGACCCAGTTTGTGCAAGTCTTCACCGCGCACTTTGTTACCAGCAAGCGGTGCCCCCGAACCGAGGAGAGCCTCCTCGGGATAGTCCAAAGGGAAGGAGAGTCCATCCGGGGCTATGTCAAGCGGTTCAATGACGCGTGCTTGCAGATACCACACCAGACCCCGCAGTACAGCTCGCGGCAGCCAAGAGGGGTGTGACACACAAGGAGTTCAAGTGGCACATGGTGGTCAACCAGCCCGCGACCATAGCTGAATTCCTCAAGCTCGCAGACAAATTTATAAGGACAGAGGAGAAGATCAACCAAAGGACTGAAAGCGGGATCGAATAAAGGAAGAGGGAAGGCGAACCCTCCAACCCAGATGATAGGAGAAAGAAAGACTCAACTCGGGGGACGAAGCCGAGCCAGCCGTTCCGAGCTCCCATAGCAGGTCGGACGGACTACACGCCCTTAAACGAGAAGCGGGCCGAGATCTTGATGACGATCAAAGACGCCCCGTACGTGAGGTGGCCACCTCGTCTGAAGGGGAACCTAAACTAAGGAAAGTGACGTGAGCTACGGAAAGTAACATGAGCTGGGGACCTTGGACGCGAGCTCAAGGAACGATCGTTAAAATTTGGCGAAGGAAAAGTGGCCAGGGACCCCACTATTTATAGCCGTTGCACCCGCGCATCAACGGTCGAGATCAAAGCCATCCAACGGCTCTCAGGAAAACCGGCTGCACGAACCCCGAGGTGAAATCAGTTTAGCGTGAATTTTTGACGTCCGATAGTTGATAAATCACTTGACGTCCACGTGTGAGCTGTACGCGACCCGGGCTGACTCCGATCGAGTCGTGCTGACCCTGGTTGAGCCAAGAACGCAAGCGGGTCAGACCGGGGAATCTCCGAGCTGGACTAAGCATGCCACCGAGCAAATCCACCTATCAATCCGTGAACTCCCCACGTTGGGTCAAGACCCTAGGCATGGGGATTTGGGGGCAATTGATGGAGGTAGATTTGGCCTGACCCCTTGGTTGTGCGACACGTGGAAGAAGACAAGATGACCTGGCAGGAACGCCAGCTCGACACGATGATGTAGCGCGGCCGTCCCAAAGAGAGGCCCGAGCTCCCAAGCTCTTCAAAGAGAGGCCCGAGCTTCCCAAAAGGGACCCACTCTTCTTGGGAGGCGAAACTCGAACTCTCCCTAAAGGATACCGAGGCTAACAGCGAAGCCCGTGAAGGGCAAGGCCGAAACTAGCCCACCTCGGGTCAGTTCAGACCATATGCCAGCACTATGGGACAATAGGACCTACTCATCCGAACTCAAGACTTCACCTCGCGCACCACTCCGGCACCTCAGCTTCAGGTCGCGCGACTGTGAAACCATATCTGACAGATCCATACTCTGGGGCAGCACGCCTGACTGGTCTGGGTCTAACAGACGGAAATCACGCCGTAACGGCCACCTGCCACCGCCATCTCCGTTGTGGCAGAGACGGCCCTGGCAGAAAGGACTGTGGCAGTTATGCCTACCCCCCCACAGAAGCAGTTATACCTGACTTGGTAGAAATTTGGGAGTAAGTGTACCAGGTGGTTATAAAAGGCCTTCCTCCCCCAGGGAAAGAGGTATGTGATATTTGTGCTTTCTGGTCTTGAAATCCATTATTTTCCCTTGCCTTCTCAAGAGTATTAACTTGAGCTTCGGAGTGTTCCTACCGGGCTCCTCCCCAGAAATCTCTAGTTTCTTCCTTGTCTCAGGCATCTTCAGCTCTGTCAAGGGCAAGGTAACCAGCAACTAGGACCAACCGGATCGCGCATCATCAGAACTAAAGACCTTACCTGATCACCTTAAGTATGCATACTTGGGCGAAAAAGAAACACTACCCATGATCATTGTGAAAGGGTTGACTGAAGAACAAGAGGAGCGGCTCATCAAAGTTCTAAAGGAAAATAAGGCGGCAATTGGTTGGACCTTAGCCGACATAAAGGGGGTGAGCCCCTCGATTTGCATAGGATCTTTTTGGAAGATGGCGCCAAACCAGTTGGAGAACCACAAAGAAAACTCAACCCGGTGATGAAAGAAGTAGTGATGAAAGAAGTACTTAAGTTGTTAGATGAAGGGATAATCTACCCAATTTCGGATAGTAAATCGGTAAGTCCTATACATGGTGTACCCAAGAAAACTGGGATAACCGTGGTAAAAAATCAAAATAATGAACCAATCCCAATGAGGGTACAAAGTGGCTGGCGTATGGTAATTGATTTTCGTAAACTTAATTTGGCCACTCGAAAGGATCACTTTCCCTTACCTTTCATCGATCAGATGTTAGAAAGATTAGCAGGTAAGGCCTTTTTTTGTTTTCTCAATGGATTCTTAGGATATTATCAGATAGTTATTGCCCAGGAGGACCAAGAGAAAACAACTTTCACTTGCCCATTTGGTACCTTTACTTACAGACGGATGCTTTTCTTTCTATGTAACGCTTCAGGCACTTTTCAAAGATGCATGATAAGTATATCTTCTGATTTTATTGAGAAGTGCATTGAAGTGTTCATGGATGATTTTACTATTTATGGTGATTCGTTTGATGACTTCTTAAGTAATTTAAGTAAAATTCTGAATCGATGTGTAGAGACAAATTTTGTTTTGAATATGAAAAATGCCACTTTATGGTATAGGAAGGCATTGTGTTGGGACATGTTATTTCAGCTAGAGGAATAGAGGTGGACAAGGCCAAGATTGATTTAATTGTGAGCTTACCTTACCCTACAAATGTTAGGGAAGTTCGTTCCTTTCTTGGACATGCAGGTTTCTATCGCAGGTTTATCAGGGACTTTTCAAAAATTGCCCTGCCATTGTCCAATTTTCTTCAGAAGGATGTGCCTTTCGATTTTGGAGATGAGTGCAAGGAAGCATTTGACAAGCTCAAGAAACTATTAACAATTGCACCCATTATTCAACCACCTGATTGGAACTTTCCCTTT